TGAGTAATAAAGATTACAAGGATTCCAAATAAAACTCTCACACTGTGGCCTGGCCAGCAGTGCTGCAGCTGCAATTGCCACTATTACTGCTGCTGACACTTATACCACTCCCATGACACTTGTTAGAAGTATAAGGTGACAAAATTGGAACTTATGGAAATAACACTATGGTGTGTGGAGTCACACAAAGGCAGTCCAGTTTGGCTTGATGATAAAATGAGTGTTTGGAAAAGGATGGTGATTGTCAGTGTCAAAGGCTGCAGTGAAGTTGAAAAGGAAAATGGACCACAGTCCTAGTCTATGACATGAAGTTCAGAGCTGGTACTTGACAATTTCTGCTTGCTGTTTGCTCCTCTGGGCCTCTGATTTGAATAGCAGTCACCAGCATTTCAGGGCATATTCCCTGGGCAGTGGTCGTCAGCATCCCCTGTGTATAGAGGTTGGCATTGGTCTTGAACTAACCTTACTGCACTCTCATGGCAGATCTCTGACCCACTTACAATACAGTTCTGTACTTCAGTGCTGCACCTTGAAGTGCACCAGAGCATATCATTGTAAAGCTGCTACCAGAATACTTTACACACAGGGACTAACACCCAACTCATGGATTGGGACAGGGTCAATCTCAGGGCTCCTTACTTGTTCTTTTAGCACTCAGTCACTTTGGACCTACTCACAGATGCTCAAAGCACCTCTGCCTTGTCTTGTCTTTTCGCACTCAGCTCGAGTTTAAAGGTTCACAGTACTTCTGTCTTGCCTTGCTGTTTAGCTTAGATACAGAACCAGGCTGCTTGTCATCTGTGATCAGTCAAAAGAAGGACCATGTTGTTGTACAGCACTGTGCAATGACAATCTCACACGTACACCATGTTCCAGCACCTACAACGTAATTACACTGCATATGCTTCAACCAATGGAGATTACACCTCAGCCAGGCCAAGGGAAACAGCCTTCAGTTAGGGGATCCGGACACAGCAAGTCATAGACAGCATCCACTATCAGTTCAGGGGCTGGGACATGGTGAGTTGGCTTGGACAGTCAAGGTCAGAGGTCTTTACCCTCTATAGTCTAGGACGGGGCTACTGTCAGTCAGGGAGCTGAACATCGATCAATCAGGGTCTGGTCAGTCAATAGTCAGGGCTGTTCATCCAAATCAGTCAGGGTGGTGGGGCACAATCAAGGGGGTCAGCTGAACCAAAGTCAAAGGGGGTTGTAGGTTGGAGGGGAGGATGACAGCTTGGGCTGTATCAGTAACAGTGGAAATAGGGATTATCGATGGTCACATCTCCCCAGACTTTGATGGGGTGCCTGTGTACCACAATGGTTGGAATTACTAAGCTGTGGGCTATCCTGGACATTGGTGGAATAGTAGCACTTACGCAGGGTTAAAATATGGGATGAGGGTAAGGATAGGTAACCTGTGTAGATTGTTTCTTAAATAGCAATATGTTTGCAAGTGTGCACTTGCATTTGCAGTGCATGTCACCTGTGTACCCTCAGAAGTATTTTGTGTTGGTTCCCCTCCCACTACGTGTATGGTGAAGGACAACTTCTGGTTTGCAGTGTTTGACCTCTTACACAGCTGAGCGTTAAAAATGTTGCCATGGCCAGGAATTCCAGGAGGTCCCAGCAGCGGCGATTGCTTCTGTTTCTAGCACGAGGAAAGGTAAGACAAAAGGGGCATGATAGAGGCATGGTGCGTAGATGATGAGACAAGTTTTGGAGAATTGTGAGAGCAAACCCACTTGGACCCATAAAGGGAAACATGCCAGGAAACTTGCCAAATTTGTCACACAGCCAACTTCTGATAAAATTCAGCTTGTAAAAGAGGAATTGTTACTCTTCACGCAGATGCATAAAGTCCACACTCTCCTTTAAGTTTTATCCAAGTCAAAATAAATAAGCATAGCACATGCCACTAAAACAAAACTGTTTGCTAGAAAAGTTTGTAACCTTACTGATTATTTTAAAATTACATATCATATTAATCAAGCTTGGGATAGTGCCTATGTCACTACTCCACTGGTTAGAGAAGTTCATAGCTAGAGGGGCAGGCACATTCCAACAACAGGAGGAGCCACAGGAATAAACTTGCTATCATCTTCAAGAATCTAATGGGCACAGACAAGAAAGAGATGACTAGGTGTGTAAGAGTCACAGATTCTGCAAGCAATAAATTGAGAAGGGGTTGGTAAAAATTCAATATTCATTTAATTCAATGATTGGTGAGAGAGGAATGTTCGAGACTTTCAGGTACTCAGTCTTTCGGATGCAGTTGATATTTATTGAAATAAGAGAGATTGCTAAGGAAATCAAATGAACTTAAAACAGACAGAAAATAATTGACAGAAAACAGTATGACCATGGTAATTTGATTGTAAAAAATCTACCATGACACAGAAACAGTGTTTACAGGGACCAAAATGTTCTGCAGTAAGATGTCAATCCAGCCTTGTTACCTATAAGCAACACTTTCATAACAATTTTCACTGAAACTTAGCAACTGTGAGCATAGACTGTTAAGAACATGGAGAGGTCATATTTCTCATCTCTGATTTAGTGAAGAGAATCATGTTATTTACTTTGGCTTGAAGGCAACCCAACTTTTGAAATGCATCACTCAAACTACCAAAGTCTTTGAACGATAGACTACTTCTAAGTCCACACTTGGCTCGAGGTGAACATGAAGACTTTGGTATTATAATTCAAATAATCCATTCTTTGGTATCAGTAACAGTGTACAAACCATGTTAGGTGTCAGACAAAATAATACAGCAGCTACTCAATAAATGTGAATAGTAAAGTGAAGTTGTTGTATATCATGCGTGACTTCTTTGTTTTAATAAAAACGTATCTTGTTCACTTAGTAGTGCACCCGACATTTCTCTGTAAACACGTTTGGATGAATCCTAACAGTCAAAGTTAACCTGCTTTGTTTTATAGAAACCAGGCTGTTCCCAGGATTGATCCCCGGTCCGTCAAGTTACCTGGCATCACAACTAAAACTGAACTGGTGGCCTTGTTGAGAAGGAAACCAATTCCTACTACTGGTCACTGTACAGGATCTTGTGTTAGATATATATTTATAAACATAACCAATTTACATTTATTCTGCTATAAAACAATCTAAATGGCAAAAGCTGACACCAGACCTCCATATAGAAGTCAAGATAAGTAATTAAAGTCTTGATTACGAGGAGGCTCGTAAATGTGAGCAGTAAAGTAGCAATGAGGTTTGTTTTTGGGAGGAATCTCCACAAAGCAGGGCCATAAAAGCTGCAAATGTGGTGAAGGTGAGGAAGTGCACGGCGAAGCAAAAGCCATGGATTAATGGACAAAGGAAAATATTACAAATCAGGCACAATTAGGGAATATTTGAAATTTGTGGAGGTTTTCAAGGAGAGTGTTTCAAATCCGAACATAAAGAAAGAGAAAAGTCACATTCAATAGCACTTCTCACAATCTCAAAAGATCCCAAAGTGCTTCATGGCCAATTTGGTTATTTTGAACTAGATTGTTGAAGCATTCAAAAGGGCATTGGATGATTATTTGTATAGAAATATTGTGTAAGGGTATGGGGAGAAAATGCAAGAACTTGGCACCAGTTAATGATGTTTGTTTGAAGAGCTGGTGCAGGCATGATACAGTTGGAGGCCAAATCAGTGATTCTTGAAAGGCTGACAGAAACAACTCCAGACTTAGAACTCAGTAACAAACAGGCCTATTAGAAGCTGGGAGTAATTTCAGATTGGTTCCTGTGAAGACAATAATTTTGTACAGAATGTGAAGTAATGTTTGAATGGGAGATGGGAATATTAGTCATGTTAAGACCTAATTAAGGGGGTATCTTTTTAATAGTTTAGAGTATCAGTATTATTAGTACTGCTACATAATATTTAGCTGATGCTGATTTAACTTTTTTGTTACAAGAAAAGTCTTAAAACTTGAAATTGTTTTGTTCAATTCATTTAAGCTGGTCACTGAGTTCAAATTTCTTTTTAACTGGTCTCTATACGGATTGTAACAACGTAGTCAACAAGATCATTGTTTTAGTTATGTTAGTTGAGTGATCAATGCTGATTGGAAGCAGGGAACTCCACTCAACGTCAAAGTGACAGATGTGTGAAAATGAGTTTAAGGATCAAATAAAGGTAAGCATTGTGCAGAGCGATGTTGCCTAGACAGAAGTAAATGACAATAAAGACAAAATACGGTGGATTTTTGAAATCTGAAATAAAAAAACTGCTGGAAATAAAGAGCAGATCCATCAGCATCTGTGGGGAGAGAAACAAAGTTAATGTTTTATATCAAATATGACTTCCTGAGAACTGAGTGAAGGTAAAGATGTGAAGAGTTGAAAGTGGGGGAATGGGGGAAAGAACAAAAGAGACGGGTTTGGATAGGGTAGGGGCAGGAAAGATTAAATGAGAAAGGTATCACGGAACAAGGGGATTGGTAATGGATGTAGTAAAACAAAACAAAGCACTGGTCTGGAGTCTCAGAGAATAGGAGAAGAAAGAACAATTCCTTACAAAAGCAAAAACATCAAAAAACAAAATTCAGAATGGCACATGGCAAATATAAATTAAAATGGTAACCAGAGTTTCATGGTCAAAAATTGTTGCTTCAATGTTGAGGCTAGAAAGCTGTAAAGTGCCTGACGTAAGTGATTGTACTTTTCTATCAAATGCAAGATTAACATTCAACTCCGATTTGAAAAGGACACAAAGGCTGTATACACTGTGGTTCAGAATAAATAAACAGTGAGGGTAGATTTTGGAGTCTGTGGCATTAGCACATCACAGAATATTTTTGGTGAAAAAGTAAGTTTGGCGAGTAGCTTGCTGACGAATGTTATCAAAACTGCTACATTTACAATAACTAATTGGGCAAGTTCTAGAGGGAAATTAGCAGCATAACTCAGCAGGGAGTTTGTGCCTTCAGAGGGAAAGGTGTGGAATATGAAGGAAGATAATTAGCAAAAGAGGGTGTTTTTATACCTGTTCTTTAAGGCGTTCCTGTTGCCCCATGATTGCATTTGCATGATGGGGATATTTCTGTTTCAGATGTTCCAAAAAAGCCTCTCTTTTCCTATCCATCTCCGATGGTTGCATTCCCAGTATTTCTTTTGAACTGCGAGCTCCACCTACAGTGTGTCTTCTTGGGATGTTTCGAACAATTTTAGTACTGGAAGCACGGTTATTTCCATTAGCGAAGTTTTGCTTTGCTTTAATGCGTTCAGCATCATCTGCTGATGTTACACGCAAATTTGTCTTCCCATGATCTGAAAAATAAAAAGGAACATAGTTAAAAAAATAAGAAACAGCATTGTTAATTTTCTCCCAGCTACAAAGTGCTTGCCTTTTGTCCCATTCTTTATGTTTGACCATAACAGACATTATGTGTGCATTCCAAAGATACTGTTCTCACTGTGGCACCCTTGACCCTGCTCCATCATCACCAGCATCTGTCCCCCACCTTTCCATGGTACCTGCCTGTGCAAGCACATACAACAACACTTACTTTTACACCCTCGCCCTTCTCATTGTCCAGGACTTCACACACTCTCTATTAGGAGTGAACAACAATTAATTGTGCTTCTTTCAGTCTAATATATAGCATTCATTATTCATTATACAGTCTTCTTTACATTGACTAATACCAAATCTGTCTGTTGGAGTCATTCCAAAGGTTTGGGCCTGTCATTTTAATCTTCCATTCTAACCTAACTCTTAACTCTCAGGCATCAGTCTCCTACACTCTACCAATGAAGCTCAATAGAAGCTTGAAGGAGACCACATCTTATTTTGTTGTGACTTTCTCCATTACAAGTCTCTGGATTCATTATCAAGTTTTACAATTTTAGATCATGACCATTGATCATGTTTTTTGGGACAGCAGGACATTGGTATTGATTCTGTCATGTATTCGATCATTTGTACCTTCACCCCCATCACAAACCTTTTGTATTTTGTTCTTCCTACAGTGTCCTACATCCTCCCCCCATCAACATTTTCTGTCTGTGCTTGTTTAAACTCTATTACATCTGTAACATTTTCAATTTCTAATGAACTCTCACCAGCCTGAACTATTAACTCAGACGCTCCACAAATGCTGCCTGATTTGCTGAATATTTCCAACATTTTCTGCTGAGATGTTATGTAGAGATTAAGTGTTCCATTCTCTCTGCTCAGGAAGGACATGCAAAATGCAGAAGAATTTCACCAAGCCACATCTTCATCCCATCTCACACCCCTCAAAATTCTGTCTGAGATTTAGTACAAGTCCATAGATCCCTGAAGGTGTCAGCACCACTTGGACGGGGTGGTGAAGAAGGCACATAGGAAGCTTGCCTTCATTAGCCAGGGCATAGAATATAGGAGCAAGGAAGTCTTGTTAAAACCTTTTAAAACATAGGTTCTGTCACAGGTGGAATACTGTGTGCAGTTCTGGTTGCCACATCCTTCCAGCCTCTGACTTGTCTAAGAGACGTTTGAGGTGGTTGGGGCTTCAGAGGGGATAGTTCAAATTGCCTGTGACCTGGTTCTTGTTTCTGGGGGAGGGAGTGCAGGATGGGGGTTTTCACTGTAGGGTCTGGAACTGGGGTGGAGGGGGCTTAGTTATCTGGTAGAAAGTGCAGAAACTGCAGGATTTTATCCTCCTGCCTGACTTTCAGGATACGGATAACTCCCGTCAATCGAAGAGTGGCCATTCTCACATTGCTGCTTGTGCGATATCATCCAGAGAGAGAGTTGCAGAGAGGATGTGAATGGAATGAAGGGGAGACAGAAATATTTAGACAAAGAGAGAGAGGGAGAGAGAGACACTCACAAACAGAAACTGAGAGGGTCACAGACTCCAGACAACAGAAATGATTTATAAGAATGGTTCCAGGAATGACAACTTCAATAATGAGGATAGATTGGAGAAGTTGGGACTGTTCTCCTCAGGGAGAAGGTGGCTGAGAGGAGATTTGATTGAGTTATCAAAATTGTGGGTGTGCTGGACAGAGTAGATAGGGAGAAGCTGTTCCTGGTTGGAAAAGGAACAAGAACTAGAGGGAACAAGGTGCAGGGCTGGATGAACACAGCAGGCCAAGCAGCATAATAGGAGCAGAGAGGCTGACGTTTCGGGCCTAGACCCTTCATCAGAAAAGGGGGAGGGGAAGGGGGTTCTGAAATAAATAGGGAGAGAGTGGGAGGCGGATAGAAGAGGGATAGAGGAGAGGATAGGTGGAGAGGAAACAAACAGGTCGAAGAGGCGGGGATGGAGCCAGTAAAGGTGAGTGTAGGTAGGGAGTTAGGAAGGGGATAGGTCAGTCCAGGGAGGACGGACAGGTCAAGGGGGCGGGATGAGGTTGGTCGGTAGGAGATGGAGGTGCGGCTTGAGGTGGGAGGAGGGGATAGGTGGGAGGAAGAACAGGTTAGGGAGGCAGGGACGAGCTGGACTGGTTTGATGTGCAAAAGAAGCAAGGGTGAAGTGAGGAAAAACTTTTCCACCCAGCAAGTAGTTAGGGTTTGGAATGCACTGCCTGGAATGTGGTAGAGGCAGGTTCACTTGAGGCATTCAAGAGTGGCATTGGATGGTTGCTTGGATAGAAATAGTGTGCAGGGACAATGGGGAAAAGGCAAAAGATTGGCAATAGGTAACAAGGTTTATTTGAAAAGCCAGTGCAGATGCAATGGCATGATGGGCCAAATAGCCTCCTTCTCGGCACTATGGAGTGTTGTCAAGAAGAAAGACTAAAGGGTTCGGGTCCACAGACCCTCGAAAGTGGACTCACAGGTAGACAGGGTGGTGCGGACACACAGCAATAATATCAATTGCACTAATTGCCTGTTCAAGTACATTGGCAAGAAATACACCTTTTAAGCAAACAGAATTTTCACTACACCAGACTTAACAAACAGCAAATACCATCCACACTGTATCCCAACATCCAAAATTAGCATAAGTTAAACATGAATTAACAGGCTATTTATGGTCAAATGTAAACTATAAATTATCCTTAAATGACAAACAGGTAGATATTTCAAACTGAGTCAGTAGTCCATTTAGATCTTATTAATCACCATGAACTAGGAAGACCTTCAAACTCTGTCTTCCTCATGAGGAATTCATGATTCCTCTGACTTCCCTTTGACAGCAGCTGTAACACAGCCTGGTGGCCCTCTTGTTTCTTATATGAACAAGGTGCTGTCAGGAAACTTTAAGTGAGATCCACTAGTTTATTGTACTCACGAAACAGAAAGACCTCAAGTTCATTTCTCTGAAAAATCTGTTATTTTATACAGCAGGTAATTATTTTGACATAACACATGATTCAACTTAACAGTTCAAAAGAAACATTACTGTTGGATTTAAAGCATTTTCTGACAGTTTCAGAAAATGGTCAGACTTTATGAATAAAGTCAAAGGAATGCCTCTACTCCCACATTGTGACATTGGAAGAGTTAACTTGAGAAACCAAGATGAAAAATAAAAGTCCACAATGAAAAACAACATCAAGACTAAAAGTCACAACAAGTCAGATCAGAAAATAAGGTGCATTTTTTCCCTAGAATTTAGAAGGATCTGATCAAGGTCTTCAAGATATTAACAAGAAAACCCAGAGTAGATAAAAGAGAAACTATTTCCTCTGGTTGGAGATTTTAGAACTAGGGGACATTGTCTAAAAATCAGGGCCAGACCATACAGGAGAGCTGTTAGGAAGCACTTCTACACTAAAAGGTGGTAAATATTTGGAACTCTCTTCCACAAATGCTAGACCAGTTGTTAAGTTTACATCTGAGATAGAGAAACGTTTGTTAGGCAAAGGTATTAAAAGAGATGGTCCAAAGGCAGGTATATGGAGTTTGGACACAGATCAGCCATCATATCATTGAATGGCAGAACAAATTCCAAAGGCTGAATGGCCTACTCCTGTTCCCATGCTCCATTTTGCCTCCACCAGGGTATACGTACCTGACATGGCAATGATTATGTTATCCCTTGTAACATAAGAAACTAGACATGAATAACATTGCATTGAAGAATCCAACATATATTACAGCTCACTGGTAGTATTATCACTAGACTACTAATCCAGAGTCCCAGGTAAGATTCTGGGGACCCATGTTCAAATCCTGCCATGGAAGAAGGTGGACTTTGAATTCAATAAAAAAAATCTGGAATTAAGAGTCTAATGATGACCGTGAAACCATTATCAACTGTCAGAAAAACCCATCTGGTTCACTAATTTTTTTTTAGAAAGCTGGCATCCTTACCCAGTCTGGCCTACGTGTGACTCCAGTCCCACAGCAATGTGGTGGACTCTTAACAGTCCTCTGGGTAATTAGGGGTGGATAATAAATGCTGGCCAAGCCAGTGATGCCAACACATTGTGAATGAACTTTAAAGAAATAATACAATTACAGATACATCAGTGTCTGGTCTCATATCAAGTTATCCAACTAAATATATAATAGACCAGATTTTACAGCATGTGTGTCATGGTTCAAGAGGTCAGTGTTAAGATGGAACATGCAAACTGCATACCCCCCGATCACATGCCATGATACAGGAGTTTCATGTAGGAGTCATATCTGTAAGGGGAAGAAAAAACAACAAAAGGAAAGAGCTTGCTGGAACACCTTGAAAAATACCGAAATGTGGATTTCCAGCTGGTGTTAAAAGATATAAAGCCAAGAGTATTGAAAGAGGACAAAGAGGTTGTAGTTGTTTGGTTATTTCTGAATGAGACAAGAATAATTTGAGTTATTAACAAACTGAAGGAAGCAAGATTTTCACTGCCCTGCTGTAGCACATGGAGCAGAACACAATAGTTAATCAGACCAAATACTACAAGATCATCATAGATCTGAAGTAATTTGAGTCATGCAAATGAAATAATCATTAAAAGAATAAATAAGGTTAGATAATAAATAAGCAGGTGAAATTGATTGCGAGGATGAAAGTAGGTGGGGAAAGAAGGCAGAAAATAAGTTATCAACCAATGCCAACAATTTGAGGTAAATGGATTGATATAAACATCAGTTTGATGAGAGGACTTGTGATGATAAGTAGCTCAACTCCTAACTCTTCAGTATGTCGAACATCTACAAGCCATGTCAGGAATGTGACATGCCTGGATGGGTGCAGTTCCTCCAACAGTTCAAGAAACTCAACACCATTCAGAAGAAAGCATTTCATTCCAACGGCAGATAACAAGGTGTAGAGCTGGATGAACACAGCAGGCCAAGCAGCATTAGAGGAGCAGGAAGGCTGACGTTTCGGGCCTAGACC